AACATGACGTTGAATACGCGACCTTAAAGGACAAATGACGTTACTGACAAATAATGACGACATATTGATGTCAAAATAACGACAGTTTGCTGCACACATGTACACATACACACACATACACACACACACCGAATGCAGTGCTGTGAGTTGGGTAACTTTTAGTGTGTTCGCTTTGGGCGTTTTACGCTGTAAGCGTCATTCAATCATTTTTCCACAGGTAATGAGCGATAAAGATAGAATGATGCTTAAGCGCGTAAGCGCCCAAAGCGAACGCACCAAAAATTACCCGACTCGCAGCACTGGCCGGATGATCTTCCAATGTACGCGATGAATCAAGTTTTCCACTACCGATCTTGAATCCCCAATATTTTGTAATTTTTAAAAACCCCCCTATATATTTAATACTCCTGATGCGCGTTGATTCCTTTTTTAAGAATTACAAAATATTGAGGATTCATGATCAATTTGTAGTTGACGATTTGATTCATGACGTACGTTGAAAGACCGTGAAAAATTATCCGGCGCAAGTGTTTAACACTACAAATATTATTATCCTCTCTACTTTCAATCTGCACGAACAACCAGCATTTAGCTCTTATTGCTGGTGTATTCTCTTTTAATTAGGTTTTACCTATAGAGCTATATAGATACAGTTTAATCGTTTTTTATTTTTTATATTGTGCAAAATACCTTTATCACTTACCATATTTTTTTTCAAAATATAATTTTGCATGAACAAATAAACGATTATTTTATTTCAAATCCAATTCCATATATAATAATATTATATTACGAAATATAATATGGATTTATCGCGAAAATTAGAGGGAAATACTATACACTCGTTTACCGATAGCCGCCTACCCGTTCGATACATCGACGCAATACATACTCTACGTATTTTCTTATAATTATAAACAATTAGTACAAATAAGACATGTAACTATGTGACACTTCTAGATGTAATAATGGTTGTTGTTATACTATTTTTATTATTATCTTTTGTATAAGAATAGCAATGTGCGTGTGCTACTTTATTTGTTATGAAGAGAATATTTTCAAAATGTGTGACCTAAGAATTTCCAAAATATATGTGCGTAGAATATATCAATCTAAATAAGATGTCCTCAAGAAAAAACGTTTGAAGAAAATAAGGAAAAACGTTTTTCCTTATTTCTCAAATAACTATATAAAATTTCGGGATATTAATCGGTGTGTTTCTTTATGTAATATGTATTAAATTCGGCAAAACATCTTGTTTGTTAGAATTTGTATAAAAAAGTATATTAGTAGCTAAATTTAAATATTTACATATAAGCTTTTGATATATAGCTTTATTTATTATTTGATATAGTTTATTATTTATTATTTACCAGGTGTAGAAGTATGAAACCGGAATTTTTTTATACAAATAAGACGTCTGTTGTTCGAAAGTGATAAATAATACTTTATTCAAAATAATTTCCACTGTTTTGAACACATTTTTCCCACCTCTCTGGCAGTTTATGAATGCCGTGCCAAAAAAACTTTTCATCTTTTGAAGCGAACCAGTTATCTAGCCATTTTTCCACATTTTCATACGAATCGAAGCGTTGGTTAGCGAGAGCGTGTCCTAGCGATGCGAACAGGTGATAATCGGACGGAGCCAAGTCTGGAGAATAAGCCGCATGCGGTAGTAATTCCCAACTGAACGACTCGATCGTTTCCTTGACCCGTTTTGCTGTATGTGATGGGGCATTATCATGGAGCAAAATGACATTGTGTTGCCTTTTTGCATATTCTGGTCGTTTTTTAGTCAATGTTCGATTTAAATCGATCATTTGTTGTTGGTAGCGATTAGTATTGACGGTTTGACCAGGTTTCAGCAGTTCATAGTTCATAGTTCATAGTTCATAGTTCTTCGTTCCTCACGTCAAAATCACCACTTTTGAATTTTTTAAACCACTCGAAACACTGAGATTTACCAAGAGCATATTCACCGTAAGCTTCGACAAGCATTCGATGTGATTCTGCAGCAGTTTTCTTTAAATGATAACAGAAAATCAATGCTGTCCGCAAATCATAGTTAGTAGGCTCGAAACGTGACATGTTTAAGGTTATACAAAAATATACTAGAGAATGAAAGTTGGGGTTATGTTTGTTGACAATATTCGTCAGCTGTTAGGAGAATATAATAGCGCGGCAGTAGCGGTCTTACGGTCACTAAACTGAACGCTGGCACCATTTATAGGGGAATTCCGGTTTCATACTTCTACACCTGGTATTATAGCATTATTTATTATAGCATTATTTATTATAGCATTATATAGCATTATTTATTATTTGATATATAGTTTTTACTATATATCAAAATTTATCATTACTATATATCAAGTTTTTACTTTTCTACTATTTGTCAATTAGTAGATACAATTAGAACATAAAAATCAAACAAATCTTTGAATACGTAAACATACAGTATTTGTGTTTATTATCGGTTAAAACTATTTTATTTTTACGTATGCATCATACTAACATAATATCTTTAAACTTCATTAGAACATCTTGTTTGTCAGAATCTTGAATAACATATGTGTTATTACGCATATAGGCTTTATACAGGGTGAGTCATTCTAATCGAACAAGGCAAATATTTCGAAAAATATGGAAGATACGGAAAAATATCTCAAACAAAAGTTGTATAAATAAATTTAATTTGGGTATATCATATATATTTATATTCTTATATTCCTTTCACATAACGAATGAGTTATCACATTCTATTGCTATTCTTATATAAAGAATAAGATAATATTAAATATAATATAAAAATAACCATTATTACATTTTTAGAAGTATTATAGTATTATAGTTACATGTTCTGCATAGTTACATATTTGTACTAGTCGTCGTCTCTTATTATACGATGAAGGAATCTATTGTGTCGACGTATCAAGCAAGTAGATGGCTATGGGTAGTGCGTGTATGGACGTATTTCCTCTAAATTTTCGATAATTCCGTATTTCGGAATTTGATACTATACAGGGTGAGTCATTTTAATCGAACCAGCCAAATATCTCGAAAAATATGGGAGATACGGAAAAATATTTCAAACAAAAGTTGTATGGTTCGGATGGGGACATAAGATGGTGCAATTGGCTTGACCCTGGATAATCATTTGAAAGTCACGTGAAAATCACCTTTAATTTTTTAAATGAAAACCTCCATTTTTCATTGCATATTCTTGTAGCTTACCTCGAAAGCTTTCCAAAACACTATAATAAAATATTTTTTCATTAAGTATCTTTCGAGTTAAAAGGCTTCAAAGTTATAATATTGTTGCCATTAGCATTGGTACCCAAAGTGTTCGACCGACGGCTGAAACCTTTTGAATGTTGTTCAGGACCATGACCTTGACAACATTTGTCAAGGTCAAAGTGATTGGAGGCTGTTCCTAATATTTTCATTTCTTCAAATTTTACAGTGAAAACAAAAATAATAATTTAAAATCATGAGGTAACATGTGGAGTCCGATTGACTCTAAAGGCTCATATGAAGATCACAATGCTATGATTATTAAAGAAATTTATTAATGGGATTTTACACGTGTGCTTCTTTGTGGACCCGACGAAGCATTCTGATCTTCATATGATCCCTCAGAATCAATCGGACTCCACATGTTACCCCATGATTTTAAATTATTATTTTTGTTTTCACTGTAAAATTTGAAGAAATGAAAATATTAGAAACAGCCTCCTTGACCTTGACAAATGTTGTGAAGGTCATGGCCCTGAACAACATTCAAAAGGTTTCAGCCGTCGGTCAAACATTTTGGGTACCAATACTAATGGCAACAATATTGTAACTGTGAAGCCTTTCAACTCGAAAGATACTTAAGGCTCCTGGGGAGTCGCATCATCCATCTCTTTTTAATGATGTCAGAAGCGAAAAAACGCTTGCTAAAAATTCCTGCAAAGTATGTCGAGATAAACAGATATATCCACAAAACGACATTTGCGATCGATTAAGTACACTTCCAATACACTTTCCTTTTGTTCTCAACAATCAACAGATAATTATAAAATAAATGTGACATGCAATCCTCTTTTTTAACCTAATTTCCTCATTATCTTGTCATTAATTTTCCGATTATCTATTGATTTTTAGAATAAAAGGAAAGTGTATGGAATATTTTAGAGGTGTATTTAATCGATCGCAAATGTCGTTTTGTGCATATATCTGTTTATCTCGACTTATTTTGCAAGAATTTTTAGCATGCGTTTTCTCGCTTCTGACGTCATTAAAAAGAGATGGATGATGCGACCCAGGAGCCTTAATGAAAAAATATTTTATTATAGTGTTTTGGAAAGCTCTTGAAGTAAACTACAAGAATATGCAATGAAAAATGGAGGTTTCCATTTAAGAAATTGAAGGTGACCTTCACGTGACTTTCAAACGATTATGTAGGATGAAGCCAATTGCACCATCTCATGTCCCCCTCCGAACTATACAACTTTTGTTTGAAATATTTTCCGTATATTTCATATTTTTCGAGATATTTGCCTGGTTCTATTAAAATGACACCCTGCATATATAAGGTTGGATTCTCGAAATAAAATAATTTTTCATTTGGTCATAAAAGTTATAACATTTTAGACAAAATATTGTGAGTGATGAGGGTATGTTGTAAAATATAACAAATAAAAAGATTTTTATATGATCATTATATAAAATATATTTTACATTATACAATTTGTACGTCAAACATTTCTTCTATTTTTTTATAGTTTTAACGATGTACGCTGCAAAAGAAAAAAACCGATTTTTTTCAAAGGGGTGTTTAATTCCTTAAAAAAGTATATGAGCACGTATAAAAATACATGTTACTATTTTGGTTTGAATGTCAACATATTTTAAGATTAATTGGAGTCACTTTCGTACTTTTACTTGTTAGTTTTCTATTCCTATATATGCTCATTTGCATTATTTATATTGTTCGTTTTATATTCTTTTATATATAGGCACCTGCATCGATGTCCCCGGCACATTTACATCAATATGCAGCTTCTTTAGCTAGTCCAGGCCAATTATCGGAATCTCTTCCTGCTAGCCAGGTTTGTTAATTATAATGACTATTTATACTCAATTTAATGACTATTATCTTGATAAAAAAATTTGTCGAATAAGTATAAAACACAATTTCTAAGTAATTTTTATTAATAAAAATAATCATAATAAATTTTAATACATTTTTTGTTTATTTAAATTCTTGCGAATACGTTGAAATAAAAGGATATTTACTAAAGTGATTTGATTATTTGAGTACATTTGTAAAATATTCCGATAATTTTCTTTTTACATAAAAAATTAATAAATAACTATAAAATTAATGGCACGTGATCATTCTTTTTAACTTATTTTTTCTTATAATTTTGTCATGTTAATTTTACGACTACTTATTGATTGTTAAAGTAAAAGGAAAATTTTTAAAGTAAAAGGAATATTTTATAAATGTACTCACAATTGATAGTATCATTTTAGAGGCATAACCTCTTATTTCGATGTATTTCACAAAAATTTAGAGCATATATTTCCTCGCTTCTGATGTTATTAATCAAGATGGTCACGGCACATCAGCCACAACACAAAAGCCATAAATTGACAACTTGGTACATATAATATGTTACATAAAGCTATATATTGGGTTGTCGGAAAAGTCATGACACATTTTTGCAACAGATGACGCTAGTTCATTTTTTGAAGTACTAGAGTCATTCGCATCTATGTTTCTATATCATTTGACAACTGACAGTTCCAGTTTCATTCTAAAAAAAATTGAGCGATTTGGTTGAGTTTTGGAGATTTTATAACAAGTTGAAGATGGAAGACCAAACTGTGCATTTTTGCCATATATTACTGTTTTACTTCCGTAAAGGGAAGAACACGCGTCAAGCTTGTGAAAAGTTGCGTAAAGTTTACGGTGACAATGCTATACAAGAACGTTAGTGCCAACGATGGTTCCGTGCTGGTGATTTTGATCTCAAAAACGCTCCTCGGTCAGCGAGGCCTATTGAGGTTGATGACGACAAAATAAAAGCATTGATCGAGTCAAACCACACGACACGAGAGATTGCAGAAACATTGAACATCTATCAAGCGTTCACGACCTAAAGAAGCTGGGTTATACGTAAGCAATATTTGGGTTTCTCATGAACTCAAAGAAGTTCATTTGACGGCGCGTATAAACATATGCGATATGCTCATTAAACGTAAGGAAAACAATCCTTTTTTGAAGCGACTGATAATTGGTGATGAGAAGTGAATTGTTTACAACAATGTGGTGCGCAAACGGACTTGGTCCCGACGTGATGATTTGCCTCAAACGATATCGAAAGGAAACATTTATCAGAGGAAGGTTATGCTCTCAGTGTGGTGGGATTTTAAAGGTGTCGTGTTTTTGAGCTCCTACCAAGGAATCAATCAATTCGAATGTGTACTGTCGGCAATTGGACAGTTTGAACGAATCCATCATCCAGAAATGTCCAGAGCTCGTTAATCGTAAAGGAATTGTGTTCCATCACGACAACGCGAGACCACACACAAGTTTGATCAACCGTCAAAAATTATTGGAGCTTGGATGGGATGTGTTGCCACACCATACTCGTCTGACCTTGCGCCGTCAGACTTTCACTTGTTTCGCTCTCTTCAAAACTCCTTGCGTGGTATAACGTTCAATTCAGATGAGACTGTAAATCAGCACCTTATTCAATTTTTCGATAAAGACAAGTCCTTTTATGAACGAGCTTATTATTTTAATTATGAAGCTCACTGAAAGATGGCAAAAGGTTATCGAACAAAACGAGTAATATATCATTGATTGATCTTTGTTCTTTATATAAATAAATGACCTTTGAAAAACATAGAAAAAATACGTCATGACTTTTCCGATAACTCAATACATAACACACTAGATAGTATATTGTATTAGGGATTTACAAAACTTATTTGATTTTTAGCCATATTTCTTTGATTAATAATAACGAAACAGTATATATTTATTACTCATATTTCGTGAATTTGTTTCTAACGCACATTTCGTGAACATTCTACTTCACTACTTTAAGAGGTAACTTGAAACTGTCGTTTGTTCGAAGGAATTTCCTTTATGGGGTGTATGATGCATCTTATACATTCGTTCAAGTGTAAATAGAATTCGTCAAACTAAACGAAAAAGTTTTACATATTTTTGCACATCGATTATTTTTAAGATATTAAATATACAAAATTGGTAAATAAATACGAGTGATAAGGTAGAACGTACTCTTTAGTGGAAGTCTCATCCAAGAGTTTTATATAAATATCTATTGACAATTTCTTGAGAACGGCAGGCAGTACCTAGTAAGTAATCTGTGCGCAGATTGACATAAGATTGACGACAGAATCTGTCGAATTTAAGCAGGATTTGTCGACAGATCTATAGACATCTGCGTCCCCAATCTGCCGTCAGACTGCTGACAGAGTTATCTACTAACAGACTTGCGCGCAGAGTCTGCCGACAGATTTTGACGGCAGATTGGTGGCAGATTACGCGCAGATTCTGTCGTTTCGTAAGTTCTTTAATTAAATCTCTGGTAGAAAATTTTTTCATAATTTTTCATAATTACTCATAGAATGAGCGTTTCCTCATAAATACTCATAAATACTCGTAAAATGCAATGAGAAAATATGAATTAACGAAAAGATAAATAAAAGGCAAATTGGAGTTCAAGCACGGATGTACTAGTGCAGTAAAACTTAAATATGTAGATGATAATTCTCAACGTAGAAAAATATTTATTTAATTACAAACGTTTAGGCCCATCCATGGATCCTCCTCTTCAGTGTAATGTACAAAAATTATCAAAAAGTATAGTCGCAGCATAGACCTTGCAAAATTGTAGCAAACCGACATTGGAACAAATTACTCATGAAAGTGTGCAGTTGTAAATTTGCGTTTAACTAAACTATTGTCAAACCTATCCTACCATCCGTCACAATAACAGTTATCCGCTTAAGCACTTATAAGGATGCAACGGTTGTATTGTCTATAAAAAAACAAAAGTAAGTGAAATTGGACGTAAATCGTAAAAAGCTAAATAAAGCTAAATGTTACCTTAGACGTAGTAAGTTTCCTACTCGTTTGTCCCACAAACTTAGCACTCGTGTTTCCGAACATAAAAGAATTCCTAGAAGTTCTGCTTCTGATCTGACAGTTGTGCAGGAACATAGGGTTAACCACTGACAACCACGAGTTTTTCTGGGATCGTGTAAAAATTTTATATGAGGAACGGCTTTATTTGAAGAGAAGTATTGCGGAAATGATTTTTATGAAGTTACAAAAACGAGGACTGAATTCTCAAAAGGACACGGAAAGATTAGAAAATGGTTACTCGTTATTTAGATGAAATTTGTTTATTCTCCTCTTGCGCTTTCGGTGTTATGTTTCTCGTGCGTTATTTGTATACAAACAATCTGTTTCGTAGCGGACCAATACTTGGAGAGTTACCTATTACTTGACAATTACGTTCTTATATTGTTGTTCGGTTGCTATACTGTATCTAAGGTAATATTTAGCGATTATTCAGCTTTTTACACTTTACATCCAATTGTACTTATTTTGGTTTTTTGATAGATAATACAACCGTTGCACCCTTATGAGTGCTTAAGCGAATGACTGTTATTATGACGGATGGTGGGGCAAGTTCAACAATAGTTTAGTTAAACACAAATTTACAACTGCACATGATAATTTCAACTTTCATGGGTAATTTATTCCGATGTCGGTTTGCTACAATTTTGTGAGGTCTATGCTTACGACTATACTTTTTGACAATTTTTGACATTACACTAAAGAGGAGGATTCACGGATGGGCCGAAACATTTGTAACTAAATAAACATTTCTCTACTATTACCTACATTTTTAGGTTTTACTGCACTAATACATCCGTGCGTGAACTTCAATTTGCCTTTTATCTTTTCGTTAATTTATATTTTTAGAGAAAATATAAGTTTTCTATATTATTTTTTTATAACTTGTAAGATTTTCTCGTTTCAAATATATCGTGTTTTTCATATTTTCTTATAGATTCGAAAACATTTAACAATTTTACTTGATTTTACACTGTATCACGTTTGAAAATTCACTCAGCACTGGTGAGATTCGAACTCGAACCGGAGTCGTCTTTTGGGTTATGATCTGTCGCTTTAGACATTAAGCCAATTCCTCACTTGATAAAAGTGCTTTGTATTGCCCACTTAAAGTTTAAGAAAAAAAAATCTTAGAGTTTGTTCGTCTTTTATGTTGTAAAATATAGACGAAACCATTCAGCGTATAAATAATATAAGAGAGATCGGCACGATAATTCGAAATTAATTTTCTACCAGGGACTGTATAGAAAATTACTGCAATAAAACAGCAGATAATGACATTTCTCCATCATGCTAATAAAATACTGTGCTTTTACATGTGCGAATTAACTTATTAACGTTCAAATATGTTGAAATTTTACGTTGATTTGAGCCATTTATTTTATCACGGAAATGAGGTCTGTTCTTTATAAAGAGTACCATTCCTACGAATTTCGATGTCGCTTTATCGAATAGCGTTGAAGAAATAAAAAAAATCGCAATTTATGCAAAATTTGTGCAAAATAAAATAAACGTAAGTTTTTAGGGTTAATTTTTCCTTCTTCCGTTATTTTTCACATAAAAACATGTTAGTATTGCTCGGAAAGTGTCTAAAATGTGTTCCCGACACTTTAACTTAAAAAATATACCATGGGTATTTTTTTCAACAAACATGGCGATACCAAAATGGCGGTCAATTTGAAACGTTTAATTTGAATTTTCATTTATATTTGGTAATCGAAATTGTTTTAGGGTCAATATTACTACAAAATTACATAGTAATTTACATAGTAATTACATAGTAAAACAAGTAATAATTTTGATAACCAAATATAATCGAAGTTTTGAAGGTTATTTTGAATGTGTTGGATGGTTACTCGTATGTTTACTGGTATGTGTATGTGTTTATGCGCGCGCGCGCGTGCGCGTGTGTGTGTGTGAAGCTTA